GTCATATTTATGTCATCGTGTTCAATAAAATAATAATATTAATAAATAAAATATTGTTTGCACCTAAGAAGATACCTTCTCATTTTATGTCTAATATAAAAATACAAATTTGATTTTATTAGTTTATATATAGGTGCAAATTTAGATTCCTAACAACATCTTGGTTTATATAATTATATGAAAAAAGGACGAACATACCTCGCACCTGGGCGCAGCTACTGTTGTAGGTGAGAAGTTGGGAAGGTAGGATACAGACGGTAATTTAATGTATATCAGCTGTAAGCCGACGAATAAACGATTCTGAGCGGAGTTCAGTTGTTAGTGTTGCTTTTTCAACGATATATGTGTCATATTATGGTAAAATAATTACAATAATATGTGTTTCCATGACAACGATGATTGTTTAAAAAAAGATTAAAATAATGATAACTTAATAATAAAAAAAATAAATAAAAAAAGGTTGCTAATGATAACCTTATTTTTAATCTTTTAATCTTTTTTAACCTAAAGCACCAAGTTTTTCTCATTATCTCGAATATTAATGAGAATTTGAAAAAATGACCTCTTTTAAGCACTATCCAGAGAATATTTCCTTTCGAAAAAGGTGCTATGCTTGATAATCGAATTATGCTTTCTGGTAGAAAAAGTGGTCACATAAAAAAAAATAACAATAATAATAATAATAATAAACATCATTGTAAAACCAATACATTCCCCGCGCCACTCAGAATCTAATTAAGTAAATCCGTTGGAAAGTATAATAAAAAAATATAGATATATTTATAGAAATATTTATGCGAGTCCCCGCAAAATTCTGCACCGGACTCCGAAATCTATTGGGCCAGCACTGCACGGATTTTCCTATATTCGTTTTATTCCATTATCTGTAAGCAATAATAGGTATTGCAATTATTATTTTTCCCGGAATAAAAATATGTTTACGTTTCCGAAAATTAACCAATACTTAATATATTTGTGGAGATTTTAGCTACATAATTATATATAATATAGTTACTTTTATAAAATAATAATAACTAAGACATGGCTGTCAAAACACTGGAATGTGGTGGTTACATTTTGTAAAATATCAATAAACGAGAAGATGTATAAACTATGATGGATAAACATTAAACTTTTCTTCCTTTAATGTATTTATTATTTCAACGGGATGTTGGTATCAGGTTGTTGGAAATTATCTAAGCTTTTATGTACATAAATAAATGAAAATAAAAACGCGTCGAGGAAATGCGTGTATGCGAAATAGGCAGGCGGCCTACCGATGGAACCTGTGACGTCACACCTCGTTTTTAAACTACAATCGAATATAGTGACGGATAACATTTTAAACGGAACCCAATTTTTAATTAGCTTTTATCTACTTTTTCCTCGGATAGTCTTTTAATTTTCGGCGTTCGAGCGTTGTAATTAAACATAATATGCGTGTTTCTATATGTTTACATTCGCACGGCGTTGTCACCGCGTCAGCCCCTTAAGCGTTTGTTTTAAGGGGTCCCATAAATGAAAAATGTAATAAAGGCCGAGAAAAACGGCGTGGTATTGGATCGGAAATCGGTGTCGGTCCATAATATTTTCAAAAATAATGGATTTCGTGCCGATATAATATTGTATTCACAAAAGTGATTCTCAGAGACATTTCGGATATCACCCACACAATTATAAATAATAAATAATTATATTTTATTGAAATTTTCAATAGTCTAAACCAGCGTTTCCCAACCAGGGGGCGTATACAAATTTCTGGGGAGGTGTAAGCAGTCATTACAAAATACAATTTTTATTTATTAAATTATTTTTATTTTAAAATGTAGGGAAAAATTAATAACGACGGGTTATCAAGTATTGATAAAGATTACAATTATTTAGCGTTGGCCACTAATCAACTGAAAACTCACAACTTAATCGTTTTTATGTCGCCACGCCGCCACACTCTCCGTAAATAAATTGGTACGATAAGAACGCCTGGTGAAAAGGTTATTATATTAGGCTTTAGTTTTATTTTGCTGTTGCACAGTGCACGTAGGATATCGCTTGGATGTCGAATCAGACTTGAGGTGCTCTTTAACAAACATTGAGCCAAACATAAAAAAATTGTTTATAGAAAATTGTTGCCAGCCTTCACATTAATAAATTGTCAATTTCATTATATTATATAATGTACTGTTTTACTATTTTAATTATTATCATCAATAAAATTTAATTCGTCTCGGATATTTCATAATTTCTTTGTAAAGTACACAAAAAAGTGATATATTTTCCATGTTATAGAAGGGGGGGGGCGCGAGAATTTCGAAAATCTACAAAGGGGGCGTAGAATAAAAAAGGTTGGGAACCACTGGTCTAAACAATACTATGCATATTTAATGTCTGCGAAAAATCAGTCAATAACGATATTTTTTTGGGACCTGAGGGGGTCCACAGACACAAATACAGCTAATGGCTCCGACCGCTTTCGTGGTCCGGAGGCACATGACCAGGCCAACACTGATTTTTCTTAAATATTCTATTTTTCAATTACTCTTATGAATATGGCTATTTTTTAGAATTTAAGAAGATAAATTTAAAAATCTGGAAAGTCGATCTCAAGTAGACTTCGTGCAAAATTCAAATCTGCTTTCAGAATTCTTATCACTTCACTAGATTAATCGGTACGTTAGAAATAAAACACGTCTAAATCCTTATATCTCACGTGTAAGACAAAGACAGAAACTCGTCGCTTCCAATCCCTTGAGAGGACGTGCATTAATTGTTGTTTCTGTGTTACAAACACAAGATATAGTAAAAACATGTTTATGCAGACTACACAGATAATCAAAATATTATTGTCATCTATTACATGAAATGACAACATTATTTTGAATATCTATTACATGAAATATGCCACACTTTCATATGAAATTAATGATTTTACTGCGGACCGTTAATTTGCATTCGTTTGAGGATACACAGCGCTTGTACGGCGGTCACGTGGACATTCTATCCCGGACCTATTGAGTTTCCCTCTCAAACCAAAATATCGATGTTTGTGCACCATCCTCGACATCTTAATCTGGGGCAGTTTAAATATTCGAAGCAACCTTCAGTCTTTCGGTCGATTCTTTCGATTATTCGGTAGGTACCGATAATGGAATAATTCGTCCCCGATTTTATCAAATCGACCGGACATCAGCTCAACAACAAAATAAAATACCAGTGCCTAAACTTTATGTTTTTTATTAATACCTTTTGACGTTTACTCGATTACGCTTCAACAGTTTTAGGGAGACAGATGATTAATATTTCATTTTAAAATGGTCGACTGAACTAATTTTAAGTTTAATAAAAAAAAAATTAGCCGATTAAAAGCATCCCAACTAATTTTTAACGTCGTCGAATAAACGTTTTTATAGATTTTCTTACGGAGCTATAGAACGAATATTTTTCTAGAAAAAAATTAGTTTTTAGGAAAATTAAGAAAAAATATATATTGTTGTAAAAAAAAATATTAACAATTAAATGATTAATTAAAATAATTATTTACGGTATAAAATAACGCGTAATATATGTATAAAAAAAAAGAAAAAAAAGTGCGAAAAGATCGGACAAACTATCGCGTAGATAAAGGATAAACATTTCAATATTTGTATATCAATAGATATCAATATTTTGATATTGTAGGGAAATATAAACGTAACATTAAGATTGTGACCCGTGTTTTTTAAATTTATTTTCAAATTGTTTTTATTGGTTACTTAATGGTTATCTTGGTTATTATTTTTTAATAATTGTTTAAAAATCTAAATTTTATTATTGAAATAAATTGTTGTTATTGTAAAATAATGATTAAATAAAAAATTTAATCGAAATACGGCGCTAACGATTTAATTATTTTAAATTATATTTTTCTACCTGAAATCTTCGTCCAAATTTCAAGAATAGCATATTTTCTGAAAGAAAATGTTATCTAGTTTGAGGGTTAGAAAGCCATTGTTTGATTTTTTTTTAAGAGTTTTCCTAATAATTACGAAAAACCGTAGGAAATAGTGTGGCATTAAATCATTATTATTGTTATTCAGATAAAAATAATTGTAGAGACCTGTATTTTTCCAATCGTAGAGACCTGAGTAAAGTATTATTTTTTTTGACACAGTTGATGTTTTACTTTTAACAATTATGTTTTTTTTATGGTCTTTTATTTTCTACGATTTTTTAAAGTTTTTGCGAATGTGAATATTACTTATTGTGATTATTCTGATTTAGTCAGGGCACATGACAAGAATTTTCTTTAACATGAGTTAATATCATGTAATAATATTATCATATTATAGGTAATGGGTATTGGAAAAGTAAATCAATAATGATCATTTATGTTGATAAACAATATTGTTATGATTGAAAAGAAAATTATTCAAATTTTATAAAATTATATTTTATAAAGGTTATTTTGAATTTTTTTTAAAAAAATTTTAATTTTAATTTTAAGTCTCCCTTCCCCTAAAAAAAATGTTTAAATATAATCTGTAGAGACGTACTAATTATTTAAAACAAATATATATCAAAAATATTGAATAGAACAAAAGTTATTTCAAGTGGCAGATCATCATGGAACACTCTATACATACCTATATCAACTTAATAATAGAAGTAATGAAAAATTAAAAAAATAAAATAATTTATACATTTCGGTTTCATAAAATTTAACTTGTTGGAATCATTATTCCTGTCCTTCTATACGCATGTGTTCACTTTATAATAACATTCATTTTTCATTTATATGTACTCTTTTCGAAAATATGATGTTTGCAATTGGTAGGTATTGATAATAACAACAGTGCACTAACATATTTGATTGCTTAATTCAAATTTTTTTTACATTTTGTGTACATTTAATTTGTATTATATACAAATTTAATGTTAAACCTTAGGAATCATGATATATGAATATTATATGCATTCACAATGAGAGTGTTTTCTTCTTATTGCAGTTTTATACTAGAAACACGATGACATCAAAAATCATACCCAAAAATTCAAGCCAATTGATGCAACAAAAACAATTTTTTAAAATCGGAGATATTATGTGGGCCAAAATAGGAAAGTATCCATTTTGGCCATGCATTTTGTGTTTTGATCCTTATTCCAACAAATTCATCAAAGAATATAGTATGTTTTTTTTATGGTATACTAAATAAAATAATTGATTATGAATGTGTTCACAATTTTGATTATTAATTTTAAAATTTGTATAATATTCATATAAATATTAAGCTACCTATTATGTTTTCTTCATGGTTATTTACTCAGGTTGTACTCAGGCTTTAATTATGATAATTTGTAACAAAAACATTTTTATACTCATCAGTTTTTATAAAATACCTGTAGTCAATTTTTGAAAATATAACCATTTATTAACTATAATATTGAAAAAAATCACAAATAGGTATATCTTTCTTTTACAAAAGTAGATCTTCTGACTATTAGCACTAATAGTTCAATTCGATGCTGTATAGACCACCCCCATCAACCTGATGGGGGCATACAATATGTTATATTATAACATAGAAATCATTTTAGTTTGTCATGAGATATTTTTGTCATTATTATAATGTTACAAAATTAAGATCCTAAGTAAATTTGTTTTTTTTTTTTTTTTTTAGGAGAAAATAATAATACCTTGCTCCAGTTACACGTAAGATTTTTAAATGATTACGGTAGGAGAAGCTGGGTCAAAAACATTTATATATTTTCTGAAGAACAAAATGTACTATCAAAATATCCTCAATATTTAGTGAGTATCAAATCAAAAATTATCTACATTTTAAATAGAAAAATATATTTTGCATTGCATAATGTTTTAGTCATATTTCCAAAAAAAAAATGCATTATTTAAGAACTGGACATCGGCCATCGAAGAAGCACAAAAACTGTTAAAGTTAAATCAGTAAAATTTTTGATTATATTTTCTTTAAAATTCAAATAATATACTTAAATCAAAATATATTAAATAAATGTGAAATTTTTCAGAGAAAAAAGGATGACGATATTTGAAAAAACATATACTGTATGTCAAAATAGTTGTAATTTATAAAAATATTTTGAATAGAATTAATGCTGTTATTTCTTATTACTTTTAGCGTACAACAAATTCAAGGAAACATATTGGTTCTAATGGAAGTAAGCCACAGAATATGTCTGTGGATAGTTGTATAAACAGTAAGTCTACAAAAACTTATCCACTCAAAAGTTCATTAATGAATAAATATGATTTATCTGATTCAATAGAGAAACCAAAGGTGACTTCTACTCTTACCGATTCTTTGAAATCTATGGAAACAAAACTTAAAAAAAGGTGTATGATCTATTTATGAAATATTTATAATCATCCTTAACTGTTGTATGCTATTTAATTTTATGAGAAAATCGAAAAATGAACTATATAGTGCATAAACTAGGTAAAATTTCCCCTAGCACCAGGTGCTATACTCCATATGTCAAAGTAAGATTTCTTTTTGAAAAGTTATTTGCAGACACAAAAAAAAAAAATCGTAGAAAAACAAATTGATCTCTCCCTACACTCCAAAACATTATTTAATAATTCAAATTAGTAATTTATTTAAAATCTGTATTTTATTTCCATTTCTAATTTTTTTTTATTTTTTAGAAAAATTGCAGACATTCAAGCACACAATAATTACATTTCTATGGTAAATTATTAAATTTCTTAAGAACACCAGTTTAATTTTTTTACAATTATTTTTCTTATTAAAGGAGCCTTCCAAATTTCTTCCAATCAAGTTTAACAACCCTTGTGGCAATGTAAAAATTAAGGACATTGGCGATGATGTTTTTAATCCATGTAATTGTAATCCAAACCAGTCAGATCCATGTGGTCCAAATTCTGGTTGTTTAAATAGGTATTTTATACCTTTTTTTTTTTTTTTTTTGGATATACTAAATTTTGAATTATTTTTTAGATTACTTATGTTTGAATGTGATCCAGAACTATGCCCTGCTGGTGACAAGTGCAATAATCAACAATTTAAAAAACAATTGTGCCCAACAGTGACTCCATTTTTAACAAAAAACAGGGGCTGGGGTCTTAAAACTTTGGACATTATAAAAAAAGGTTTGAGTTAATTTTTATAATTCTTCTTAAAATTATAATTTGATTATTCATTATAATTTTAGAATCATTTATAATTGAGTATGTTGGCGATCTTCTTGATGGAGAAGAATTTAATAAAAGAATGAATATATTAATTAAAAAGAGAAATGAAAATCATTATTTTTTTCACATAAATAATTCTAGAATAATTGATGCTGGAAGTAAAGGAAATTTTTCAAGGTGAAATTAATTTTAATGATTTAATAGATATAAATATAATTTGTATACAGTACAAAGTAATTCAAATTTAATGATTTTTTTTTAGCGTTTCTTAGCTAATTTAAAATGATTGAATAATAATTTTTTACTTAGTATTGAATATAATAATTTCATATTAATTAATATTAAATAAATCAATCTAAAAACTTGATTAATCTTTTTTTTTTATTATGTTTTTTTAATTTCTTAGATAAATAAAAATTATAATAAATATAAATATTAAAACAATATTCACAATATTGCAATTAAGATTACATGCAATGATTAATGATATTATTTATTAAGTTTAGTAAATGTTAATTATGTTGAAATTTTTTACGCATTATGATATAACACTGGAAATTTTGTATTAATATAATTTATATATTTTGTTAATAGATTTATGAACCATTCATGTGAACCAAATTGTGAATCATATAAATGGATAGTTAATGGAGAGACTAGAGTTGGATTTTTTGCTTTACATGACATTGCTGCTGGTAGTGAATTGGTATTTAATTACAACTTTCAAAATGTCAAAGGAGTTACTAAAATACCTTGTCAATGTGGAGCTGCTAAATGTTCTAAATTTATTGGGGTTTAAATCCCAATTGAAAATCAATAAATTATTACTTTTTTACTTTTTTTATATATGTTATTTAATATTTATTGTGAACCATTAAAATTATTATTTTTTTTTCTGGATGTACTAGCTTTGTGCATATCCTACTAATAAACTGATAAATAAAAAAAATGTGTTATAATATTTTATAAATTGAACCAAATGAACATTATGTTTGGTAAACATTTGCTATACTAAAAAACACACTCTAATAATGAACAGACTGTTCGGACCACTAATATATTTCATATAAAGCCATAGTTGCAGCCCTGGTGTTTCTGTATTTAGCAATTGGAAACTGTTAAATGATGAAATAAAGGGGAATTTATTGTTGCTATGAAAGTAAACTGCTAGCAATTGTATTTCACCACCTTAACATTGCTCCAAATGTAAATAACTACAATATTACATTGGGCTGTTTAACAACTACTTAAAATAGTTTTTTAAAATTCAAAATTCATCATTAAACCTCATTCTGTTACCTTCATATTGATAATTTGCATAATGTTTGTAGGTATAATAATAATATCACATAGTTTGATATGGAAAGTGTTTATTAAGTATTACAAAGTAGTACACAATAGTCCGAGTAGATACTCTTCTAATAAATATTACAACAGTCGCCCTGTTGGCTGCTATGTGTGTGAGTATGATAGGAATACATTGATAACATTTTATAAATAATTACAAATATCTGTACAATAATTTGTTTTATATTTTGCACAATTTATGAATTATAAAATCAAAAAAAGAATTGTTATTGTCATTTATATTTTTGTTTGGGTTATTTTGCTTTTGAAGTAAATACATCCCAAAAGATAATTTGGGACATAAACATACATTTTAATGCGCACTATGAATCTAATTACCTGAACTATTTTCAATTATTCTGTGCAACAAAATTAAAATAATGATATCAATTTCAATTAAAAACTGTACAAAGTACCTAATACATAGATATAATTTAAGTAGATAGGTAGGTAGATATCATCCTTAGCAATATGCATATGAGTAACATCTTCAGAAATGATCATTAAAGCTAAATAAAAAATTATAACTAAAATATGAATTTTATTCACCGTGTATTATTGCTATGTAATTAATGTTCACATGTCATACATTTCTTGTATGAAAATAGTTAAGGGCGTACATATTGGAAATAAACTAAAATATTATTTATGTACCTAAGTACTTTTTAAAACAAATTTTCTTACATTGAACTAAACACTTTTATTTTAACTTACTTCAGCAACTTTAAGAACTAATGAACCACGGTCTATATTACACCTATTATTAGTCATCTAACCACTAATAAAGAAGTTATAAGCAAATAAACTTTTGTATCCTTTAAATCCCTTCAATATATAAGCACTATAAGTACATGTTTTCCGGCTCGAGAGGAGCTTATCCGACCATAATATCCGAAAGTACTCCTCTTCAGCTTTCGTTTGGTGGAAATTGACTAGACAGATAATCTTAGGTAGAAGTAAAAAAGTAATTATAGATATAGCTTCAAACTATTGTGCACAGGATCGAACCCAAGACAAAATAATAACGATAAAGAAAGAATGTACAGAAATCGAGAAATGACTGAGTTGTTTTCTTCGGACGAAAAGGACGAAATGGAACATTGGTAACCAAGAAAGAAAAAAAAAGGCTTCTATTTTAATAGAATCGCCTGAAGGCTACTTCAAAACATTTGAAATAAAAATAAAAGTGAATGACTTTCCATCTACAGTAAGGGACTGTAGAAGTCAGTGGCGGTGTGACATCAAATTTAAAGACAATCTTTAAACTTTGTGAACCTATACAATTAGTAGGTAATTGTATAACTCCGATATGAGAGTCATAATAAATGAATCTTTTGAATCTCTCAAAAGTTATGAGTCTCTAATTGTTGGTTTATTGCCAGAAATACCTCTGTATGAAAACAAATTGGTAAAATACATACGTATATTTATTACGGTCAGGTTTTAAAAAAAAATTAAAAAGACATCCTAGGATAATGGGGAGGGGCGCAGCCACTATTATAGATAATTTAATGTAAAGAATTCATAAACCATTGCTTACGAAAAAATGATTCTGAGCGGAGTTCAGTTAATATTGATACTTTGTCAATAACAAAATACTAATTAATAAGTTTTCTATACTATCTTTAATAATATTTGTTTAAGGTTGTATCGATTTTCCTATGCTTTATCCCGGTTTTTCACATTTCGCGAAAACTCTTAGGAAAATCGTAAAATAGCCTCCCAAAAGTAGTATGGAATATTATAACTTATTTAATCATATTATAATTTATAATATAATATGTTTAATAAGCGAATATCTCTTATCTGATATTTAGGTATTTTAACGATTCGAGGGTTTGTACTATTCTAAAAATTCTTACTTGCAGTGTGTGATTAAAATTGATTAAATTTGTGATTAAAATCTAAATGTGTGGGACTCGTTATCTATAACCATGACTCAGATACGGCGGTCTGTTGGTTACCTGTTTAATATAAATTAATTACATTCTTTATTAAATATCAATGTTATGTCAATTGATATATAAGTTTAAAATAAAACTTCTTATAATTTTTAAATCTGCTGATTTAAGGTTGATGTAAATATTAAACTAGGTAAATGATCAAGTTGCCCTCCACAAATGATGCCACAGACAGAAATTCTATAAACATCTAAAAACCGTTCTTACAGTATCTCGTTAGCGCTAACAGTGATAAAATTCTACGCGAATCTGCAAAATTCTAGCCCAAACCAAAACTTTATGGCTAATTGTAAGATTTAGCTAAGAATGATGTTCCCATGAGTTGATCCAGAATTTTCGGAAGACCCTAGAGGTATGTCAAATATAAAAATCACAATATTCATATCATCATACCTATTATAATCATAGTGTGTAGAATCTTCAATTAAATGTATAACTGGTTGTCTGGTTACATTGAAAAATAAAATTATTGATTTCTATATTAGATTTTAATATTTCAATCGACCAGGTACACAATTAATGAAATGTGTAATAATTAACTGTAATATTATTCAATTTTGTAGACTCGTTTTTTATATCAAATTAATTTCAAAGCAATGGAATTTTAAAGAAATGGAAAAGAAATATAATTTTTTTTCATTTTGCATATTGCGCTTAAATTACCTACCCATGTTTTTATTCTTTACATGTTTATATAAATTAATATATCCGGTTGTTTTTATTAAATGTAATTACAATAATTGTTATATTTGGTTCCAGGCACACTATAAACACTCAAATTGAAGCCTTGATACTCAATTATAATGAGATTAAAATGTAGATAATATAAACTAGTCCTTTATTAATTTAAGGAAATAGTATTGCTTTACACAAATGTATTTTCATTTTAAATTTTTTTGCATGTTATTTGAAGTTTTAGATCTTTTTTCATAAAAGTGAATAAGTATATGTTAAGCTTCACATAAATTAAAGAATCTAATAAATGCAATATTGTTAAATAAAGTAAATAAATATGCTAAATAAATGTATAAATTAAAATTAAATAAATAAATAAATAAATGCGTCGCCTGGAGTATTATAAGTCTATTATATGACAGGTTTCAAATTAAAAATTCTTTATCAGGTATGTCACAGTCAAAATGAGTATATAATACACTGATAATGCTCCAGACAACGCATTCATTCATTTATTTAGTTTTTATTTATATATTTATTTACGAGTATTAACCATTTTAATAATTTTGTTTTTACTTTATTATTTTATTATGTAATATTGTTGTTAATCTGATTTAAATTTTTAAATTAATTCATCAAAATATTTTTATATTATCATGAAAATAAAATACCATACTTACAAAAACTTAACTTATAGCTATTGAAATTGAAATAGTGTGTCAAATTAAATTGTACTTGGACTGTGCTATAAGCAGTAAGTTATATTACAATATTAATTTGATCTTAATTCGGTATTTGGTAGTTATAAGTTTAAGTGATATGTCAAAATATCTCGGTAACAGACTTAAACAAGTCACTCTTGCACTGCGTCATATTTTGTTTATTTGCTTTATATGCACTATGAATCTTTGTACAAATTCAGATAATATAAAAATAATTTATGCACATACAAATGTTGGACTAATATGGTTTATGAAAATTACTTTTTATACTTACTAAATACAATTTCTTTAGTAAATATCCTATAATATATTCTATAGTAAAATATTTAGTCACTTTTAAAAATTAGTAGTTTGAGATCTATGGTAAAGATATCCCTGACAAGAGCTAATTATTTTTTTTTTCTTGGGCGAATTACTGTAAAATATTTTTAACCCGCACAATTATATTTTTTGCTATAAACAATGGGTAAAATGAAAAAAAAAACATGCATGCATTTAAACATCAGTGTATAATCATATAAATAATTTTATAAATGCCTGTTAGAAATCCATCATTTTAGTTGTTCATTTAGTCTGAGTATATTAATTTGATGCATTACTTTGGTCTAGACTAACATTTTAAATTTATTACATATTAAAATAAGACAGAATAATTTAAAGTGTGATTATTCTACTATTAAACATAACTTTTATAATAAACGTTTATGTTTTAAATTAATATTAATATGGAAAATTTTTTCTAGGGATGTTTTGATGTGAAATCATAAGTTTTGTATTATTAAAAATAAGAGTTATATTATACAATTATATTTTTAAACATTAAATAACAATTAATAATAAATTTGATATTAAAATTATCCATTTTTTATAGACATAGATATAAATGTGTTTAAAATAGAAACTATACTGGACTATACAGAGGGCGACAAAACTTTTTTTAGTAGAGATTTACTTAGAATATTATATTATTTTTCCTCTTGATTTCCATAAATAAAATGTATAACATTTAATTACTTTACTACACGTATTAATAATTAGCATACCTGCATACATGTACAAATAATACAACTAAAATGTATAGTTGAATAATTTTTTCATCATACATTTATTAAGACTAATAAAATAAATTAATAATGTTCAAAATTATAAGTATAACAGAAATAAATTTGCCAGTATACACATTGGTGAACTGTATTACTTGATAAAGTAATTAACTAAACTATGCATTGTTCATACATATTTGAAAAACAGCTAATTTGTTCCAGAAAAAAAACTGTATGCGGATAATGTCACTCAACAAAAAAGTTAGGTATCTACCAATATTTCGGTCGCCCAATATTTTTTTTTAATACCAAATATACTCTTATATAAATAACTTTATTTTATTATTATATTATTTTTTTAAAATTTTATTTACAACAAATTTATTAACGAACATTTTCCTTCTGATATCGTAAAGACTGAGGACTATCAAAATATTGCAGGTACCTCCGGTCCTTAGAATTTGTAACGAAAAAAATTAAAAACTCGGAATACTGGTACTAATTATTAAGAGGTTAAAACTAATATAACATATAATTTTTGGATTTCATTCGGTTTTTGTAAAATAAAAATTGATTTTCAATACTATATTTCAAATATTATAATATTGGTATCAAACAAAAAATAAAACTTAACCAATTTTGAATATTCATCTAAAGTTAAACGTCCAACTGCCTTTATGGTTATTTAGGGCCTTTGTAGTTATAATTTAAAATTATTTCCTCATGATATAGTTTCTAAATTAAAAGATATGGATATGTGCTTCATGTTATACGAGAAATAGGATATGATTTAGTTTATAGGACTTTATGACGTATAAATTTATATCCATGCGGATATCGATAAATCATTGCTAATAAAAAATTGTATAAAAGCAAAAATGGTCGATAGGTTATAAATCTGTTCTGCGTTTTTTAGATTTATAATTTATAAACTTTATAATACTAATTGTTAAACGTAGATATTATCTACATTATATAATACAGTGTTTGGAAAGAACACATAGTCATAGTTATAGTCGGATATGATAGGACGGGGGATTGCAATTTTTCTCGGAATGCATTGAAGAATTATAAAGTATAGTGAATAATTTACTTTAAGAATGTTTTGAAAAACAATAATTTATGTTGTAATTTAAATAAAAAACGGATTTTGTGATACCGAATGTGCGGGGGAGGTTTTTTTTTTGTTAAACATAATGCCTGTTGATTATCATTATAAAATAAAAATATAATATTAACAAATGAAAAAGAGTTATCGATTATCGATTTTCGGTAAAAATAAGTTATTGTATAGTTACTGGCGAGTGTGTAACTAGAGTAATTACGTATTTGCACAATCACACATAAAATATATATAAAGTTTATTGTATTATAGGTCATAAACGGTGAGCTCCACAGTAATATGAAAAAAATGTTCTCCGTGGGGCTTTGCTTCTTTATTGGGGGGTGTCTGAAGTCCCCCGATTTCTGACGATTCGGGGGATGAACTCCTTATTGGGATCTCCCAATCGCGCCAACGGGTAAATATTATTATGTTTTAATATTAAATAAAGATAAATAATCGTTAAATTTGTATCTAATTATAAAAAAAAAACTGTACTCCGTTCCAATTAAGAACGCACCGGGCGGCGGACGATAATCGGCCAAAACTCGCGCAGCCGACTAACGGCGAACCAATCGTAGAGCGAATACTTAGCCGAAGGGGTAAGGACGTCGCTCCACGATACATTTGGATGCACCGAGTAGTGCGTTCTTACGTATAGTCTAAAATTGAAAATAAATTTAAAAAGGTTATTTTTCAAATAATATTAAATTAAATTAAATACTATATCCTAGAGTTGTATTTTTCAACCTAATTATTTATTATAATATTATGTAGGTTGAAGAAATTCAAAATTAAACACGTTTAGTATAATTTCTTTCGATGTCATCGCCACGCCGTAGTGCGTATACCACAGTAATATAATAGGGTCCTTATATTCATGTCTTTTTTTTTTTTGATTTTTCTACGGCTGAATTAAAGAAATTGTGCACAATTGCAAGTATATCGTAAGGTTTTTTTTTTTTGTAACCGAAAAATAAGAGTTTCGAAGCCCTCTATCGACACAACACCTTATTATGTTCAAACATTAAGGTCCGAAGATCGGAATTCTCCATCCCCGCCCTTTCACGTATTAATACAATTTGACCCTCAACCAATACCGCCTACGAATTTTATTCTTTATTACAGCAAAAGCAAAACCGGTCAAAAATGAGCCGCTTGTCACTCCCACAGTCAATATTCGTTTAGTTTCCATGACGACAGTGCAGTATCTCCAAATTTGTTTAGCTTTATATTGTATACACTAATACAGTATATAGTGTATTTTTTTCATTCATTCGCAAATTTTTGCGTCTTGATAACATTATTCGTCAACATTTTACTCGCTTTTATTTTTACACAATTATGGAAGAAACTCAAGCACACATGATGCTATTAATTGATTTAGAGAGAATCGAGGACCAAGTTTCGATAACAATTTCATATGTACATCCGTCGGGCGAAAATGAACTGATACTCGAGGACCACGTGCCATTTGAAAGAGATTTTATGATCAGAGCTTTCCACAAGAGCAAGGAAGAATTATGTAAAGTCAGAGTAACGTATTTAACGCTAGACCATACCAACCATGGAAAGCATAGTTATATGGTTTCGATAGCTTCTTTGAGAGAAGATCCCATTTATAAAGTAGCCGTACCAATAGCCCGACACGGACCTCGCACGGTTCCACATTCCGTGGCCGTTACGTGGAAAAATAGCCTGGCAGGAATTCTACTAGAAGAACTCCGCGCAGAAGAAGAAGAAGAATTGCTAGAAGAAATGCGTATTCAAGATGAAACTCGTCTTCAAGAAGAAATTCTTCGTCAAGCAGCAGGAGCAGCAGTAGGAGAAGAAGAAGAATCAAATGCTTGAATCACTGTCCTAACTCCTCAAAAATTTGCCAACGTGAGTACCTATCTACACATTTCATTAATCCAAGTTAATAGTATATATACGCATAACACTAGCAATAGCACTATTTGCATAATGATTATCTTATTTTGGTTATTCAAAAATGATAATAATGTGGTTTTACATAACAAATCGTGGTTTATTTACGATTAATTTCCTCAGTTCACTCGCTTTGCTTCGTATGGGTTATTAATGTCTATGGGCCAGACACGAATCAATTTTATATATATTTATTTTTTTTTTTATTAGTATTTAGTAATTAAATACTACATATTTAAACATAGTTGTACAAATTAGCCGTTATTAATTGTCCTTGTCATTTTCGAATAACTGTGCCCATCCCGTCTTATTTTTCTCCCTCACCCCCGAATTTATCGGGATTTAAATTCAACTGCGGGTTTTGAACACAATCTGTCGCTCTTTCTCCAACGCCACTCTGCTGTAAAACCATTTTACTATCGCCAATTCGACGTAATGCACCTTCATCGTTAAAAAAAAAATCACTCATTAATTATAAAACATAAACTCGTAAATATTTAATAATAATTATTATTTTTAAAGATATATTCAAAGCTTTGTTCTTATTTATAATACATATTCGCCAATATTCAATAATAGTAAAAAAAAAAAATGTTTAAGATATATTTTGAGCATTATAAGGATTTACATAGCATTCATCAATGTTTAACTAAAAATAAAAACATTTTAAATTTTTATAATTACTCACATATTGTGTTTATCTTTTATTGACATCGTTGATTCTTTCATCATTGAATATTCATTATTTTGCAAAGTATTGAGTTTTTTCTAAATACATTTTTTTGACATATAACGACTTCCTACCTACTTTGAATTTTCAAAAGGTAATCTAAAAATCATGAAAATCCCATGAAAGGGTAGATAGAAATCAAATGTGTCAACACCAAAATGTATTTAAACTTTAGTTATATCTATTTATGGAACATTAATTTTAAGTTACTATTTGAAAGTCAAAAGTAGGTAGATGTCAATAACCCCAAAAATAAAGATGACAAATATAGTAGTACATTTGAAATTATCAAAACAATTTTTTTTGAAAAATGTCAATAGGTACTTCTGAAATAATGAGTGTTCAAGGATAAAAAATTCACCCTGTATATTAAATTTATAAGAACTAGTAAATTCAATTTAGTATTTTTTTATATTTGTATTATAATTAATAAATTATTGTAAATTAATACTATGAACCTAATTTACATTTCTTTATTTTTCAGAAAAATTAAGATTTAAGATACAGCATTAAGAAACCGCATCATCATCATTCCAGTTATTAATTTTAAGCAATGCATTTATTTATAATTATTTTCGACACTAGTTAAATTATTTGATAAGTACTTAGTGGCCAAAATAATTATTATTGTAACATATATATTAATAGTATATAATACTAGTAGTAGTTCTACTAATAACTTTTAACTATGATATTATATGTAATGATTTTATTATTATAAATTTATATCTTTTTGAAAACTAAGATTTTTAATAATTTGTATGTAATTTATTTTAAATATAAAAAGGAAATAAAGTTTTTGTCAATTATTTTATACATTTGTATTGTACTACTTGGTATAGTTGGAATCCATTTTATCAATACTGTATTTAATAGGCATGTTTTGTTTACAACAAACTTCTTAATGTTTAAAAATAAAAAATAAATTAATTAATGAATGCATTGCTTGGAGTATTATGATAAGTATATTATACAACCTGTTTTGAATTAAAAATTCATCATAAGGTGTATCATAGTCAAAATGTAAAAAGCAAAATTTTATTTTTATATTTATTTACGAGTATTAACCATTTTAATAATTTTGTTTTTACTTTATGATTTTATTAGTTTATAATTATTTTCACATTGAGTCACATTAAGTGGTGTCCTTAAACTGTGAAATTGACTTTGTATTGTGCCAGAGACCTATTTTTAAAAGAGAGGTTTTGTATGTGACTTTTGAGAGGAGACTTTAGTTTGTTAGAAAGATAATTGTAGTTAATCTTGTCCACCGAGTAGTGTGTTTGTTGCCATTTTGATTTGGTTCCGCGTTTTTCAGCAATAAGTTGCCCTAATTCTGGAGAAAGAATGAGTTATTGAAAATAGGAAGGACTCTGGGTAGATGAGTCCTTGGCTGATTTTTGAATGTCATCAGAGAGTTTGACAATTGCTTGATCGACATCAGTAGATGATTTTAATTTGATATTAAGAATTATTTTGTTTGAGATAGTGACTTTGAATTTGTTTCAGTTTGTGATAGTAATGGTAGGTCTATTTTGCTTCAAAGAGGGTTGGGCTCCGATAGGCAAGACAGGTGTATGAACAGAAGTTTAAATTTATAATTTAAGAAATTTGAGAGGTAGAAAATTGAGTAGGGAGATTTGTAATAAAAATAATCAATGTTGTCAGGGTGACATATTCTATGTGATCGTCAATACATTGGAAAGGAAGGCGCTATAACTTTTAGGTGATTGAGCAAGGTGACATTTTGAAGAGCTTGGATACTGGTGTTGGTGTAGCGGTTTCAAGTTTGGAATTTGCCGTTGAAGTCAGCGTCGATATTATGGGCGAAGCTTAAGGTTTGAGAGAGAGTGTTTAGTTCAGCCGAAGGAAAAGAAATAAATTTATATTTTAGAGGTCTTCAACATTATTTTTCTTCTGTAATGATATATGATAAAACGAAAATAGCATAGATCAAATTAGTTTAGAATTTCAAATATGTATTAATACTATTTAAAAATTAAATATATTTTACATTTTTTTTAACTTGGAATACACAAATAAAATATAAAATGTCCAATTCATATAGTTACATGTAATTGCTAATGTGTGTCATTCTATGTTTAAAATCATAACCTGCACTTTTAAAAATTTAAACAGTCTCAGAAGTAGTGACAAAGAGAACATCCCAGAAAAGAATGTTTATTGTTATTACAGATTGTATATACTCAAACAAATTAAAGAATAATAAATATATTTTAAGATTATGGTATCCTATAATAAAATATCATTACCAGTAAAGAGAAATATCATGTTGAAGACCATTTAAAATTGTTTGAGATGAATTTTACTTGTGCTAAAAGCCAAAAACTTTGTATATGTTTGTTGTTCACCACAACAATCCAAATATGTATTACACATCTCTATTTCTTGCCCTGGTTTAAATTGCATTTTCATTAATTTATTGGCATATTCTTTATAATAAAGGGAAGAATGTATCATTAGATACATGATTTTTCATAAGGCACCGATGTTTGTAACCGCTTTTCCTTCTTCTAAAAAAGAAATACTAAAGTATTTTAAGATATAGTAAAAAATATCTGGTTCTATATAACCAAAAAAGATTAAAATAATTTATCTAACAAAAATAATTTTAAATTAAATTTCAAATTCGAATCAAATTTATAAACTTCTAGAAATCAAGTTTAGCATTTACAATTAATTAAGTGTAAGGTCCATTGGTTAAAACAGTAAACAAATAATTAGTAATTATTACTTAAAATATCTTGTAGGTTTTTAGCAAAATCTAAAGTTAATAAATGAGTAAATTGTTAATCGTCTTCGGCTAAATCAAGTTGTTCAATTACAGCAGGATGATCTATAAATACATCCTTACGAATTTGAAACATCATTTCTATCATAAATTGTATCTAATGAATTACCAATATATATAAATAGATATTAAGTAATAATGTAATAATACTTGAAAAATGTTAAGAAACATATTATTATTTTATAAATAATCAATCAATTATACATACATACTTTCAAATATGTTATTGTCTTCATTTTAATAATAAATTAAATTAGTATTAAAATTTCAATATTAGTTTAAATTCAATATGAACTTTGTGAAGGTATATAATAATTCATGTTATGTAATCGTAAAATGTACATTTTTTCAAGAACAGATATGCACTTTATGCAAAAAGTTTGTTGTATTAAACACTTCACACGACTGTACTTATGATATAAAATCACAAACTACTGCTGGCAAGTACAATTCGAAGTAGGTAATTTTAATATAGGTTATACCACTTATTTTAAAATCAATACATATTACTTACTCGTAGAACCAGTAGTCAGTGGAACGTAACTATTAAAAATAACAATATATTATTAACTAAAATTAAATGAAATAATTTTGGTTTTTATTATTATTATTATTACACAATGATAACTCCACCAACTTATTCGTATTTAAATTTTGAATATCAAAACAATTTCAAGTAGATATTTCAATAAAATATATTATTATTTTCGTATTTTTCACATTAGAAAGATTAAAAATCATATAAAGAAAAATTGTACCAGGGCTAAATTAAAGATACTTATCCATTTCAAACATGAATAAATTCAATTAATTACTTACTATTATTATACCAAATTTTCATAAATCAGAGTTGTAATTTATATATGTTTTTTTTCTAATAGTGTATTATATAGATATATAAATATTAATTATAATGTAATTTTAATGATTTTGTTAAAATATTAATACATATTAAATAATGATTATTAATCTTTAAGTAAACATGTTATGAACTATTGATAATTTTCATCAAGTATACAACTTTATTGATAAGATCCCTTTTAACTATTAGTGATGGGATTTTCAACTCAATACCATGAATCAGTTCACTTGACTCAGATAATTTTAAAGAGTTGACTCGGTGAGTCAACAACTAAGTTGCCAGTTTATTAAATTAAACAATTCTCTTTATTACGAATCATCAACTCTCAAGTTCCCAGTTTATTTCATTATGGCTCGGTTTTTCAATCACATTTATTCGTCGACAATACGAGTTTTTTGACAGATAAGAAAATATTGATAATTCTCAGTTTTCCATGTCTGAGTAAACTAGTAAAGCTATTTGATGCAGAATAACGTATTATAGTTATTACTATATATTTTCTACCAAATAATAATTTATACGACGAATAAGTATATTCCATATTTTAAGCATAAACTTGTGGCATCTCTGGGCTAAAATATAAGTTAGGTTTCCAATTACCCTGTTATTCAAAACAATGTATATTTTGTTTAGTTTATACCTATTTGGTACTTACATAGCCTATAGTACTTGAATTTAAGTCTTATGCAATTTTTTGCTAACAATTTTTATTTTTAGATTGTTTTCCAAAATATTTCTATTTGATAATGCATACTTCAATAAACAAAATAATTGTCGCTCTAATCCTCTTCGATGCCATTGTTTATTACAATGTATGATATATTAATATAATATGTTTATGTTTGAATTTTTGGTTGTAAAATATAAATACAATACATTTTGTCATATACTTTTATAATTTAATTAAGTAGGTATGCATAATAAAATATTATATTAATTAATTAATAATTAATAGGAATTAATTTGAACAATAATAAAAATATATATTATATGATACTATAACGTTATTAAATGTGTATAGTATGTCAACAATTAACCATTGCTAACAAAGACGATTCTGAGCCAAACTCAATTATACACAATTAGAAATGCTGTCATTTCTATTAAATTTGATCCTAAGGTACGAGTATTGTAAAGACTATGACAGTACTATAACGGAACGAGTAGATACTGTTTACACACAATTAATTAATACTATTTTCACTTATTATTGTAATTTATTATTAGTATGATAAATGACTAACTAATAATAACTGGTTGCAAATGTTATCATTATTAAAAAATCAATATAGGTACCCTATTATTCTATGAAATTTGCATGTATTTATTATTATTGTTAACAAAATTTAAAATAATGAAACCATTATTTCCGTAAATATGGTACGGAGATCGATGTTCTAGCAGCATAGGGTTTTATTTTAAATATACTAAATATAAAGTAATAATGATATAAATTAGAATAGGTAGCATCTATATGGTGATATAAAGAAAATAATTAAAATTTTCTATTTACTTTCCTAGTTGCATAGCTTTCCGAGTAATAACATGTCAAATCTTGTTTAAGTATAGTGTAAGGACTGATATGTTGTGTTCATTGCAGTCTTATATTAACCTATAAGTTTATTTGTTAATCACTAATATACTATTACTGTGCTAAATGTATTAAATTACTAAATGACTTGCAATAATTGCAACGTGCTTATACTACATGAAACTATTATACATTTATATCATTCAATATCAGTATATTATCTATTATCTAATATCTATGCATTTTACGTTTTAATATATCACTGTCATCACAAGTTGCTGACATACTTATTTAATTTATCATAACATCACTTGTCATTGTGTAATGACACAATAATAGAATTTCATATTACAGTAGAACCTCGATTATCCGAACTAATTGGGACCGCACCTAGTTCGGATACTGGAAATATAAAATAAAAATTTTTCATAATATTATGTATTAATTATATTTTTTTGACAAAATTATCAATTTTAATTTGATGATGAGCTGCAACTCGCTTTTCTGCAGCCAAGTCGCGCAAACGTTTAAGAAGAAGTAATTGTGTTTGACAACATTCGGCATGTTTTTCAAACCATTTAAGACCAGTTTCTAATGCAGTAAACGCTTCAGCAGATGTTGGTCTTTTACGAATACAATATTACTTACGAATACAACTTTCTGGAATATCTCCAGATTTGATTATAATAATGAAAAAAACTATGGAAAAATTCTAATCTTCTCATTAAATCTATCTTTGACATGATGAGAGATTAATATTACTTTCTAAGCTCTGATATAAGGTACATTCACAATATTTTAAAATGTGTAGGTATTGACAAAGTAAAACTTTAAAAATCGTTACTGTCATTATTTTTTTTACTAATGATACTCATTTTTTACCGGAATTCTCAGATTACCAACTCATTTGAGTATTCAAAAAATATGTCTGCGTTATGTGGTTATGAAAAAAAATATAGTGTTTTCGTAAAATATTTAATTTCTAAAATAGGTTCAGTGAGGAAAACACTTATATAACTATAATATAATGACCATTACAGGTAACTTTTTAGTTAAATAATCAAATATAATTTATTCTTGTATATTGTTGTTTAAACATTTAATATTTGCATTTAGTACATCCAAACATGTAATCACGGATAAAATTACAGAAGGGATTCTATCCATTGCCACTACTAGCCATTATGGAGACTACATTTGTAAAGTAATTAACGGACTTAGAACTGCTGAAACTGTCATTCGGCTGGTTCCACCTTCCATTTCATATTATCCCATTCCAGATGACCTTCAAACAATTTCATTTGATTGAATTCAGCTAATTTATGGTAAATTATTATTTTAAAGTGTTTATAGTATGTGTTTTGTTTGTGTCATTAAACATAAGTGAATTTTAAAGATTTTGTTTTGTAATTTACAAATTGATTACATTTTACAGTGTTCATTGAAAAGTTAAACATATTTTACTAATCCTCTATACCTGTTACTAATTTGGGTAAATATAGCAACATGTATGTTTTTTAGAAATTTATATGGTTAGCTCCGTTTAAAATTTTAGAGAGTCCAAACGCCCATATTAATATAAATGAGCAAAAAAAAAATCCTCAAATATTTAATCTAACTTATGATAGATAATATGGTCTTTGTGTCCCACTCCAAGAACGTGACTCCTCTGGTCCATCCAATACGGGTATTAGATAACCCCTAATTAAGTAGGTATATTTTTAATATTATTTTATTTATTTTATAGAAGCATCAAAATTATTTCAGTACTTACCTATTAATTAAGATTTTGATTGCACTAATAATTTAACATATATTTTCAGTCTGTAAAAAATAATTTATAACTAATATATAATGTATTTTACATTGAGTTTTTAATATGTATTTCATTTCTTTTACTAAAGATATTGTCTATCCAATATAATATTTGACTGTCATGTAAAATTAAATTGTATATAATTAACTGTATCATAATTAAATAATATTAAGTAGATTCCTATGAAATGGTAGTAAAGTGTAAAATAATTTAAAAAATATATGAATTAATACACCGATCCATTAATTCTACATACCTACAATAATTTGTTTTTATTTGATTAAAAAATAAGAAAATTGGATGCAATTTTAGAGATAAAAATGTCTGTATAATATTATTATAATTTTTAATTTATAAATAATCAAATTAAACCAATTTTCAAAAAGGAATACTTAGAGAAGGGAAAATTATTATTTTTAAATTTGTAAGTACAAATTGATATGCAATAATATTTTCACAATTTTAGCACTACCAGCAATGGTGGTATTGGTTGAAGCTAAAATGTATATCAGTGGCATTTTCAGGAATTTTCAATGTGGGGGGGATTCGGGTTATATGCAGCCACATTTATAGGTAATATAATGTATACCTGTAAGCAAGGATAAACCATTGCTTAAGAAAAAATGACAGCGGAGTTTGGTTGTTAGTGATGCTTTGTCAACAATATATATTATATATTTCATTTTATAGTAAAATATATGCACAAGGAAAAAAATAAAAATAATAAACATCTTTATAAAACCATAAGCTTCTTCTTTCCACTCAGAATCTAAAATTTGATAAATTTTAGAGCAAATATCAAACGCTTTTGATGAAAGAATACATAAATATTTAATGTTATCAAATTTATAATTATACTAATTGTAGATACTTAAAATAATAGCACAAGTTCCAGTCATTATATAAATTATTTAATTGATTATTAATTTTGTGGAAAATTCCAAAATAATTATGTTATGAAGGGGGGGGGGGTGTTCATTAATCGGTATAAAAATCTACACTAAAACAAATCCTCCAAGGACGAAACATAGAAAATAAATCACCAATTTTTTGTTTTATGGGGTATGGGATAAATACAATTGTTACTAGGTACCTATTGAAAAAAACATATCAATTGTTTCTGTTATTTATTGAAGTTCATCATACACTGATGAGCTAGAAAAACAAATTAACGAAATATTGTACAATTACAATTTAAAAAAATAAAATTTTAAACCATTGTTACCTAGCAATGGTTAACTACGCAAAATTGTAGAAATAAGGTTTGACTGTTTTTAATTTTGAAAATATTTTTGAATCCTTTATAGTAATTATACACATTTAGTTGTTTTTCGTAGGTATTTTTTTTTTTTTTTGGTAAGTACTCTGTGGATAAAATTGTTAGACTAAACAAAAATATTTGAAAATTTAACAGGTTCATTAAGTCTTACTTAGTGGTCTTAAAAAATATATATATTGTAATGTAGTAATTTTTTTTTATAAAGGAATTTTGTAATCAAAATATATGTTGATTGCATAAAAAACATTGTTTAAAAGATAAAAAGAATAATATGTTTATTTACTATGTTCCAGAATGTACAAATAGAAGAAAGCCCCTTTAATGAGACCCAAAACCACCTATTACAAAAATAAAATCGAACCTAGCAGTGAAAAAGATACCATAACATAACCAGAGAGGTATTATCATTTATATGATTTAAGAAAATTTTAATGATAAGTTTGACATTTTTATTACAGGAATAAAGAAAAAATGTACATAGATTTTAATTTGTGCCTAAATGCCGAAGATGTAATAATATAAAGAAAGATAGAACATTGGTTTCTTGGGAATAGTGGACAATCAAAGTATTTTGGACAATTGATAAATCATAAATCTATGAAGCAGTTTATAAGTCCACAGAATATTTATAAATGTCCTTATGATTAACTTAGTAAGATTGAACTCCTTCGCTATTATTTATAAATCTTCCTCCATATAATAATTTTAAGAACATTCATCTGGATTTGTGCCATTTTTTCAACAATGCTTTTTTCATAGGGATATTAAACTACTGAATCATATTCCATTAATGTTCTACAATTTTATGACACATTTTTCCTGAATTACAAAAATGAATACAGTGTACTCCCGATTATCCGTGGAATAGGATGGCAGGATACCCACGGATAAACGAATTATACCGTGGATATCGCATAATCGACTATTGCAGCCCAATTTAACTGATAATGATGTACAATGTACATTCGAGGGTCTAGTATTAAAGGAACATAAAATAATGTGTATTAATAAAGCGTATTTTATCGAGTTATTGACTATGGCAAATTCACAACCCAATTAAACCTATAATGATTTATAATGGAAAGATACAATACGTATATATTTTTTTGTATACATATAGGTATGTAGACGATTCCGTGGAAGACAGCGGATAATCCGCAACGCGGATAATCGGGAGTACACTGTAAATATCATTTTCATCCATTTTTACAATGAAAATGTAAAATGCCAAAATTAACAATAATGAGAGCTTCTAAAGATAATGTTTAAAGAGTTAAAAAGATAATATTGAAAGCAAGGATTTGGGTAACATTAAGGAGTTACCTGGAATTCAGGATCCTTAGTTTCGAAAACAGTCAGTGACAAACTGAACATTCTTAAAACAATACAACTCTATAGGTTTATTTAACACATAACATTTATTAACTGACTTGAGGGAAAAAAAAATACACATAATAGCAGCAATGTAGAAGAGTGTAGATTAACAGAGGTTCCATCCCACTATCCAGTGGCTACCATAGCTAGCAATATGTTTATTTACAGAATATTTACTATGTTTCAGAGTGTACAAAATGTGGACACATGTTTATTTGATTCATATATACAGATCAAAAGAGAACCAATCGGTGATAGTGAAAATGAAAAAAATGAACAATGTATGGAGTATTGGTGATATAACACTTTAAAGTGTTTTCCTGTCCACACCAGAGGGGTTATGCAATATGAATTTTTCAAAATTATTTCGAATGTTTTCCAAGATTATTATGGATTAATTAATTCTTAATTTACTCTTGTAATTTGTATATAAAATAAACAATTTATTACTTTTACATTTTGATAGTAATTTTGGTTTTTGTTGTTTTTCGGTTCAAATCTATTATAGAGACCTGTAGTTTTCAAAAAATACTTATATTGGACTTCTTTAGGTACAGTAGTATTTTCAAAACATTTGAACTATTTTTAGGTCATTTGTAGGTATTTGATTATAAAGTGAAGGACAGTCAAATAATAAATGAAAGATGTCACAGACGCTTTCGGTTAAGTGTAGTGTACAAAAGGGAGAATTATTTAACCCAAGTTTATATGCATGATCAGGAAGAAGCGAATGGCCCACACAAAGGCGGTTAAAACGGACTATGGTAGACCTAGGTAGATCTAAATGAAAAAACCAAGTTTTTTTTATTAGAGATGGAGGGGGCAATAGATTTATATTTGGAAGCAAAGTGAGCCAGCAAGTTATTCCAGTAGTTGGATCAAAGACAGGTAATGTGACAGCGAAGTAAAGGAGTAAAATCGGTCCAAGGTAATTTAGCAAGAGGAGGAAGAATAGTATTGGAAGTAGATTTGGCGAGTCCGTTGGCCTTTTCATTACTGTGTATACTGACGTGTCCAGAGATCCATATAATTTGAATTAGGCGATTAGACTGATTTAGGAAATAAAGATATGATTTAATTTGAAAGACTAGTGGTAAAAGTTTAGAATTAAATGGATTGGATATAAGAGATTGTAAGCAGGGCATACAAGATACATTATAATTATATATTATACAGAAAACAGGTTGTAGGTATGTTTATTATTATTATCACACTTAATTTAAAATAATTTATGATTGAATAAAGAAAAAAAAAAAGTTCTTAAATATTAACATTTAGATATAGGGGTTTTAATAATTCTAAAACCTATAATTTATAACAGGTATAATTACAGGTTATAATGTGTATTTTATTTTTTTGTAACTGTAAACCACTTTTCTATCAGAAAAATTGCTCCAATTGAAAAATAACATAAAATCGATTTTGTTCCTTATAATATTTATGTTATATGTGGTTATAATATTTAATCACTGAATAAGGAAGTAATTTTTAGATATCTCAAGTAGTTTTCATAATAATTAGAAAACACCAAAAAACATGACAAATTTGTTTTTTTTTTAATAATGGCCCAATGACTTCATTATTTAAAATTGTTAAGATTATATTGTATTTTACCAGAAATCTTTGTTCAAATTTTAAAAATAGTACATTTTTTTAAAAATGTCTGATTTTCCAAAGTTTTCCAATTAATTACAAAAAACTGGAAATAAAATATATAAAACACAGAAAAGTATAAGGCAATTTCGGTTTTTGTTGTTTTTCGGTTCAAAATTATTTTAGAGATATGTAGATTTCAGAGATACCTTTTTTTTTCTTTAATTAGGTGCAGTAAATTTTTCTAATTATTTTGACTATTTTTAGGCTATTTGATACTTTTGTGTTTTCATATGTATTTTTTATTAAAATTATATGATAAGAGAACTGCTTGAAAATTTTGATGAAAACCCTAATAATTACGACATTTCAAAATATGTCCTACCGAACTTCGCTCCAAATCATTAGCAATAGTAAGGTTGCATTCGTTATATTGTTACGTTCAGATATACATTAAATTCCCCCTCTCTACATTGTAATATCTACAGAGATAATAAAGATAACCAAATTTTTTTTTTTTTTATATTAGTCACAGATAATGGCTACAAATATTGTATATTGAAATTAATTTCTTATGCTTTAAAAAATAACTATTTATTTTATTATGTTTGAAAAATGTATATTGTATAGTTTATTTTTCTGAAAATGTTCAGAGAAAAGTACCTATAATTATACAGCAGGCTGTAATCGCATTCTCTAATTGATTATTATTGTTACAATTAATCTAGCATATATACTTCTTTTCTCTGAACTTTATAAAACTATTAAACATTAAAAATTCAATTAAAATAAAAAGTTGATACATCAAAATTTTCTGAAGAATAAACTCTATAAAAAGACAATCTTCAAATTTTTTAAAAATAATAAAAATAATTTTTATTATCTCTGGAGATATTACAATGAGTATATCTACGAGGGACTCACATATAGGCTATAATTATATTAAATAGCTAAGTGAATACTTAGCCAGTAGGTACTTAGGTATATTATAGTTATAAATTTAAAAATTCTACTTTCGGTTTACATGTCTTTTACTTTTGATTCAACTTAATATAGTATTATAATGGGTTAGTATACTTACCTTGAAAACAATTATTTGCTGTTGAATGTGAAATCAATACGAAGTAGGTGAAAAAATTCAACCTTTTTTTGTTTTGGATATTTAGTCAGTAATAATTTTAACTCTTCAAATCTTTTGAGTTTTGAGTCTCATTTTTTCTGCTCCACGTTTTATTTTTTTAGTTGGATTAATTTTATTAATATTATAATAAATAAATATTATATAATTTACGAATATACGATTTGCGAATTAAAGTTTAACCAAACTAACATAATAATAACGAATGAGTAGGTACGTTAAACTCACATAGCATACTGACAATTGACAGACGACGGTTTATGGTTATAAATGTATAATATATAAATGAAATACCAATTGGAAACTGGAAGATGAAACGATAACGTTATCCATAATAATAAATTGAATATTAAAACTTTTTTTAACGTAATTATAATAATACGATGACACTTTAGCTATAATGCGGACGCCCCGTTATCCAGTATTATTATTATGCCTGGTTTACACGCTACGTAGTACTTGTCATTAGTACTTGTCACTGTCATCATCTATCGGTCACACACACAACTGATTTGTGCATAGTATTAGTTAATAGTAAATAATAAATAAGTGATAACATAAAGTGATATCTATTTTTTTCTTTTCTTGGTAATAGGTTGATTTTAAATTTCGCATTTTATATTTTACTTCTCACTTTAAAACCTGGTATAACCATTCCGTCCACAATTTTTTGATAACATGCTTCCCGCATTTGTTTATTTTTGTATGATACATATTTAGGATTCCAGTGGCATTCATGTTTCTTTTAATCATGAATAAATTTGATAGTTGTTTCTGTATTCCACTTTTCTGACATTTTAAATTCTATATTAAAAACTTAATAAACAAAAATAAACTGCAGAACGGCACGTGATAAAACAAATATTCTCTTATCACTTCAACTAAGCACTAATACTATCACACACGTTGCGAGTGCCACCGCGAGTAGTCATGGAGGAGGTAGCTACTTGTCATTAGTAAATAGAACTGGATTCTATTCACTAACACTCCCGGTTTTACTAATACTAATCACTTTTTTTACTGTTTACACGCCTTGTGCGAGCGCGAGTGAAAAGTACTACGCAGCGTCTAAACCAGGCATTATTCTAACAAATTCATCATACTCAGTAAATAGTTTATAGCATGAATAATTATTATACTCGAGTCGTTTATTGTTTACAATACTGTGATATCAAGACATTGTAAATTAGTTTGGGTAACACGGTCCATGAATCACGATATTCCATAACATATTATAACGGGTCGCTATAACTGCTACGAAAGTTTTCATTGAACATATTACTCCGTATTTAAACTCTTCCGAGTACAATTATTATTACGAATGTATATAGAAAATTAAGTTTAAAGTTTGAATAACTTAAATAAAAACTGCTATGAAAGGCCATAACAATAAATTGGTTGACGTCACCTCGTTATGGTACCAACCTTAGATCATAATATACCATTCCTATTGATAATATTTTCATCATTAATCACGAATTAAGATACATCTTTAAAATAATACTGTGGCGNGCTCGTGGCGGACGTCGGCCACGCCCCTCGCCGCCGCTGTAACGGTTTTTCGACACAGCTCCGCTCGACTCGACCGTTCCGCTCGCGCACTTCGCACCGACGCCGTTTTCGATACATTGTTTTCCGACTCCGAATAATTATTATGTATAATTGTTTTTCTTTACTAATGTTGTTTTAATTGTTGCGTGCTCGCCTTTTCCTCCGTCAAAAACCGTCAGCTGGCGATCACTTGTATTATATCTTTATGTTGTAAATAAACGTTTCTTTTTACCTTATCATAAACCTTGTGTCTTGGTGTAACCCGCCAAAATACTTATTAATTAACTCCAATAAGATAGGTATATATCAATCCGTGTCGTTAATATTGGTAGTCGTCCTCCTTTGAATATTGTCTAATAGGTTTTTCAAATTTATCTTTTTACTTATTCTTTATAATAATTATGATATTGTTTTGTGATTGTTGTTTGTTTTGTGTTTAATTTTGATGATTATTTTGCAAAATTATAACTTGTAATAAAATTTATAAAACTTAAGTAAATAAGTTCAAAATTTACCCCTATCAAAAAACAAAAAAGGGTGAGAGATGCATACTAATTGCTGAAATATAATTGAGTACTGTGGAAAAAAGATTTAAACAAAGTTCTTCCAGTGACTTAGGTACCATAATATTTTCAATTGCCTCGTTTTGATTAAATATGCTTGTATATAGAAACAATTTAAACGTAAAAAAAGTTTAGTTGCTTATAACTTCTATATTAGTGGTTGGATTTCTAATCACAAGTGTAGTGTAGATTATGGTTGATTAGTTTTAATAGTTACTGAAGTAAGTTTAAATAAAAGCATTTAGTTCAATGTTGGAAAAATTTTTTAAAAAGTACCTAAGTACCTATTTAGGTAAACAAAATAGCCTAGGAAAAAATTTAAGTGACAATAACAATTCTTTTCTTGATTTTATAGTTCATAATAATAAATAGTGTAAAATATATATTAGATTATAAGTATCATAATA